GGATCTACGATCATATCGAGTTTTAATTTTTTCAATACATCTTTTTCTGTTTTGTCTAATTTGTACGTAGCTATAGTTTGTATGCTTTGTTCTTTCATAGGATATCTAACTCTTTCCGCACATTTATCGATGATTTCATCTATTATATCATCTACTATAATTCTAACTTCAATTGCTTTAGTAATACAATCTTCCAAGTAATTCAATATCATATTCTTTGTTTCCCAATAATCCGATAAAAGCATCGTATTAGATTCTTTCGGTTCGCAACTCAAATCAGTTTGTACTTGATTATCTATGACGAAGATTTTCGTGCGATTATTATATTTGATATAAGTTTGCACAATTTTATCCGCAGTCTCAGCTGGTATTTGACTGGTCGGATCATCTATCCAAAATACACGTATTAATATAAAATGTAATATTTCAGTGATGTCCATGTCCCTTTCTTCTTCGTCGCTAAGTTTAGAAACGAATTCTTCACGTTCTTCGTCCGTGACGTCCGCAGATAGTTGATCGATCACAACATCTTGCGGTGTTTCGGGATGGAAGCTAATAATAGTTGCAGCTACATTGCTCCTCTTTAAATCAGGCATGGGAACCTCTTTCATAGATGCTATATGGCATATATTTTAATAGAAATTAGAAATGTTTGTTTATATTTTTAATGTATAAAGATCCTAAAAAATGTTACGAAGTAATTAATTTTAATTTTATTACTCCTATAAAAAAAAGATATGCGTGGTAAATAATTATAATAAAGAATGACAAATCGCATACTCATGATATCTCTAAAATATTGTAAAGGTGGGCATGGTGGATGCATATACATCGTTTGTGAGGCTTCATCTCGGTATTCAATGGAAATATGTACGACTGGTATTCCCTGTAAATATGTTTGAACTTCTGCATCTTCTTTGAGTTTTTCTTCTGGCTGTTCTGGTTCTTCTGGCTGTTCTGGTTCTTCTGGCTGTTCTGGCTGTTCTGGCTCTTCTGGCTGTTCTAACTCCTCTGGCTGTTCTAACTCCTCTGGCTGTTCTAACTCCTCTGGCTGTTTTAGTTCTTCTGGCTGTTCTAGCTCTTCTGGCTGTTCTAGCTCTTCTGGCTGTTCTAGCTCTTCTGGCTGTTCTAGTTCTTCTGGCTCTTCTGATTCCTTATCTTTTACTTCTTTAGTATCTACAAATTGTCTAAGCGGTCGTCTCAATACGATTTCATCAGGATCAAGGACTAAGTTTACATCCTGTGTTGATGATATTATCGTTGTATCCGCAATTTTTCTTAATGTTGCATCCTCTTCTGGAGTTACCGTGATAAGAGTTTGAGCCCAAGCATCATCTTCTGACGTCATCTAATACATATATATAAATACAATATATAGCAAATATTTTGAAGATATTCATCCATATATTATTATCTTATTAATATTTTTAAAAAATACAATATTGTACGTAATACTATAATATATATTTTATGTATCTTTGTTATATAATATATTTATATTTATATCATATTTTATATTCTATTTTAATATAATAAAAATAATTCTATTTTAATTTAATATAAATAATTAATCTAATCGATAATAAGGGAATCTTTTATTTTCTTTTATAATGCGAATGAATGATTTATTTTATAATTTTGGTAATATTTTGTTAACTTACTATGATAAGTAATTAAATATAAATTATTGTACGTAACGTCTTTGCTAATGTAATTTAGTATTAATGAAAAAATATATTTATTTTTCTGAGATGTCATCTCAGATTTCTTACAAGAACTTTCAAAAAATTTAATAATTTATTTGGAAATTTTGTTGATAGAATTTTACATAATAAAAGGTTACAGGTTCTATGATGTCAAAAAAATGATATCTAACTTCAAATTATATACAAGATTTTTCAGATTTTTCCCGCCAAATCAATACCATTAATAATATCATTTCTTTGAACAATATTTTCCACTTTATTTATGATTACTTTGATAGATAAGGAGAGAAAATAGTAGAAGAAGGATAGAAATAAGATAAAAATATGGGAATCAGCGCCATCTCTAGAATGCCGTAAATGAAACTCACATAAAAAGGACAGAAATAAGGTAAGAATTGAGTGTCAGCATCATCTATGAAGTGATAAAGATACCTTTTCAAAGAGGATAAGAAAGAGTAGGAATTGTCGACTAGCACCATTATTCTACATTACCTATTTTTGAAGCGATATTTTTAATTTTCAAAAGATGGCGGTAATAGTCAATTCTTATTTATCTATCCTTTTTCTATTATTTTCTGTCCTTTTTATATGAGTTTCATTTACGGCACTCTGAAGATGGCGCTGATTTTCATATTTTTATTCTATCTCTGTCCTTTTCTTACTACTTACTCTTTTATACTTATATTTACTTACAAAATTAACTTATAAAATTTATATATTTTTTTTAAATATTTGAAAAAGATACTTATTGTAATTAGTATTTTAGAAAAAATTTAACTTTATCTTTGAAAATATAATCTATAATATTATAATAATATTATGTTAATCATTACGTTATAAGTAATTTGAGCAAATATTCTTTTTATTTTTAACAAATTTTAATATTTTTGTTAAAATATTTCATTAAAAATAATTGTAAGATAAGAATTTTATTTTCAATCTTAACAATTTTAACAATTTTGTTAACAATTAAAAAATATACCTAATGTAAAATCATCATCTTTATTTGTTTCACAATAGTTTATGTAAATATAATGTAGAGCTTCTTATAGATAGATAAGATACTTTGTAATAGAATATCTTTTTTTCTTTCTATTATTTGTAATTTCAATTACAATTTTATTTTAAATCAAATCTTTAAAAATAATAGAAAAATAATAAGAGGATTTCTTGTACTTCCAAGAAACAATTCTTATTTCTAATACATTCAGGAATATTATTTATTATTTTATTATTCGAAAGTTCAATTATCGAAAAATTTTTGTCATTGTCTAGTTCGGATATAGGAAGTTCTACGATATAGTTTAATTTTATATTAAGCTCGCCTATATGCGATCTCACTTGCGTACGCATTTGGCCGAATGCGAAGTATACAGAATAAGTATCGCTTATTAAATTGAATTTTTTACAATAATTTCAACAATAATTTTTATTTATACTTTTATCGTTTTACATACAATTAATTATATTGTCACACTATCTAATATATCTATTTTATTAATACTATATAAATACAATCGTAAACACATTATACTTTTTTTTTCAGATGTAGATATTTTCAACGAAGAAAAATATAATTTAAATATCACGAGGTCAATATATTAGCTCATTTAACACAATTTAATCGGCTTACGTTACAATCGCACATTCTATTATTCCACTCACACTCTAATATTTCTCGCTTCAATATCCGCGAACGGAAAACAAAGCGAAAATAATAAACACGGTGCACTTTATCTATAACACTTCAATGTTTACGCGACGTGAAGCAATTCAACTCGGTGTAATGAATCGAGGATCGGTTTATCGAAAAAAATGAAACGATATTCGTTCATATGGTTCAAGTATACAGGAAAGCGAACGTGAGCAGATACAAGACGAAAAAAATATACGCACAGCGTATTTTCCAACACGGAGAATACCGAACGAGAAAACGTTCCAGCGTGTGATAAACCGTTTACACAATCACGGCAGTTTCATCAAGCAAAGCCGCGGAAAATCGAGGATTAAGAGAACGATCGTGATAGAGGAAGCGGGCTTCATCAGATCGTGGACAATCCGAACATAAGTATGCGTGAGATAGCGAGGAATCAAGAAATCAATCACGTATCTGCGTGGAGAATTTTGAGAGAGAATAAATCATTGATGCAACCAAGATTCCACTCTCACGAATCGCATTTTGTTCACCGATGAAGCGATATTCACACGATCTGGAACTTTCAACGCGCGCAACAAACACACATGGACGGAGAAAAATTCACATTGCGTAGTGTAAAATAAATATTAGAGAGAATTTAGCGTGAACGTATGGTTGGGAATGTTGGACAATAAATTGATAGGCCCGTTCTTTTTATCGGTATGTCTCACGAGAGAGATTTACTTGCAATTTTTGAAAACTGTCTTATCGCAATTGTTGGAAGGTGTGAGTTTACAGGTGTGAAAAGAGACATGTTTATGTACGACGGATCACCGATCCATTTCGGCTCATGTCATGCAATATTTGAACGAAAAATATCCTAATAAGTGGATAGCTCGCGGAGGACTCATCGTGTGGCCTGCCTGATTTCCTGATTTGAATCTATTGGATTTCTCAGTGTGGAGTTACTTGAAAACTTTGGTGTACAAAATGTCGGTGTACGACGAGAATATTCTGCAGATGCGAATTATAGACAAGTGTAAGAAAATTGGAGAAGATCAAATTGTTCAAACGAATTCAACAATCGTTCTGTAAAAGGCTGAAATTATCGAGGAGGAGGGTGGACACTTTCAACACCTATTATGAAATCAAGAGTGAGTGTGGATTGTTTATTTATATTTATAATGCCCGAAGTCTTTTTTTAAGCATTGAAAAAAACTGAGAAAATAATGTTATTTTGTATTATGATGATGAAAATAAAGATTAAAATTAGCATTTTAATAATTCTTCTGATTCTATTTCTATCTGATCTATTTCGTATGATATTTAAAGTGATACGATGAAAAATAACTAATATAAAAAAAATGAAAAGAAAATGATTTTTTCAATATAAAAATAATTAATATGCGTTACCAAAAATAGTATTATATCTTCGAAATATTACGTTTCGAAGAAAAATATATTTTGCTACGAAAAGAAATATATTTTTTGTTATTAATTAATATATAATATTAATATTATAATATTAAAATAATATTAAAAACTAATATTTTCAATAACGAAAAGCAATATATGTTGTTTAATGATAAAATATATAAAAATTATTATTTTTTATTTTTTAAAAAGTAAAGATGTTAAAAAAGTACAAAATATTTATTATATCGTATTTATTATATCTTATTTTAATAAACTAATAATAAACAATAACAATAAATTTATTACTATATATGTATCAAATACAATAAACATAATTTTTAATAAAAATAAATTGTTTTCAATTTAGAGAATTTTAGTTACGTTTTGGTACTATTTTAAGGACAAATGTTCGTATTTCCATTGGTTTCAAAACTACATTTATGATACCGTCTTTAATTTCTACAGGTTCATATTCTTCTTCCGATTGAAAAATATCATTCGTCTCAGCATCCCATTTCAAACGATTTATATCCTTGAACCATTGATTACCACCTAATGTAGTCTCCTTAACGGATACGATCGTAAAAGTATTAAATAGATCCTATTGTAACAAATCATAATAAAAATAAATTAAGCATTAATGTATAATTTATATTTATATTTTTATGTAACATTTTGTAAAAAATATTTTGTAAAAGATAATTCGAAACGTACTTGTATATTAATTGTTACAGGTTTCGATAAATTCTCGGTTTCATCTATTTCAAAAATATGTTCTAATCTTAGTAGAAGAGAATCTTCTTTCCACGGTTCCAAAGTTAAAATGTGAACATTTGGTGGCAATGCTTTGGCAAGACCTATATTCTAAAAGTAATAAAAATTCTAATTCGTTTCTATTTCTCTGACGATTTTTGGTTTATGATTTATACTTCTGTACTTAAATATCATTTACTTGGTAAATACCACTTACTTGCGAGGCAGCATATTGTGCATACGTTGAAAAATTATTTTCATTAGATATAATAAAAGGCCATGGACGAAGCAACAGTTGAAGCGCCAAAGTTTTTTCTTTTATTGCAAGTTCATCTAAATTTTTTATACTACCACCGATAATATAGTGAGAACCTCTAACCACTAAACCTTCACCATATGCAGATTCATTGAGAGCTTCTCCTACACCGAATGCATCGTCTTTGAGAAGTCTTCTATGAACCTATAATATATGGATATGTTTACTTTTTCCCTTTTGGAATATAACACGATTAATTTTACCATCATTTCGATCTCTCCATCTTTCATACTAGTTCCTCCTTGCGCTCGATCCGTTAATAAACTAAGTTTGAGACGTCTTTCTTCATCTTTCAATGAAATTTTCGAAGTAATGGGATAATAATTGCCAGACACTTCTTCTTGCAGCTTTACTTTCCACGTTGGTCGATAATCTCTTTTTCGTTTCAACATTTCACGACCGTTACTATCAGTGTAAAATTCTCCAGAAGAATTCAAATTGCTATAGTATCTCGTTATTATCTCTTTGCCAATCATATCCCTAAAATAATATTTCATAAGTATTTATTTCATTTTATTATATAAATAATTTGTAACACTTCATTTGAATTACTCTACTATTTCTAAAATATAAAATTTTGTGTATTTGATCCACTTACTTGATAGGTATTGGTCCAACGAGCCAATCGAATTCAACATATTCTATTCCATTGTAAACTCTAATTACCTGAGATACCCAATCATTGATATATTGATGAATTTCTTCTACCAATGGACCTATAAAATGAATCAAATTTATTAATATAATTTGATTATTTTCCTGATGTATCTTTCATTAAAGAAGTAATTACCTTTATATACTTTGTAAGTACTAGGTGTTATGAAATTTTTAACGAACATGTTTCTAGGTCTGAATATATATGCACCCGAAGATCTATTTTTAAATTCCTTATTGTTTCCTTCCATTCCTTCGTAATAATGGAACGATTGAGTCAGTCTCATATTTTTTTCTTTCTTCCATTCGACTACGATATGACCATACTGATTCACCGATATATCATAAAACTGAAATAATTTATACATTATTAATATATTTATACATTTTGTAAATAATAATTTGTAAAATTAAAATGGATTATTATTTATAATAATCCATTATTTTTAAGATATAAATTTCTAATTTGTAGATCGTAATTCTCAAAAAATGATTTTTGATGATTTGTCAAAAGTTAAGATGAATTTTCTATTAATAATAAATTTTATAATCGTATACCTCGTTACCAATAGAGATTTCCTCCATAGTTTCTTGTCTTGCACTTCCTGTTCTTTTGATGATATAAGATTTATAACCCAAAGGTGGCAATGATGCAAGAAATACAAGTTCATACGTCGCATTACTCTTTCTTCCCGGTATTGCATACACGGAATTAGGAATAGGAACTATTTGTGAAATCATTTCTTTTCCATCTTGAAAGAAAGTTAAATATCGATTAACATATTAATATATTTCACGTTAAATATCAGGAAGTAAGAAATTCCTTTCCTATTTCAATTTCATATAGTATTTTAAATTGTTAATATTAAAATTAATTATCTGTTTTGATCACCTGAGAAATCTATAACTTTGTATGCATCTTCTTGGACAGGAATGCGGATAGGTGATACGACATTCTGACTCAAAGGATTATAAATCGCTAGAATGAAATCGTTGCCTTCTGTGTACGTACACGAACTTATGTTCAATTGCATGCAAGAGTGTACATGTTCTTTTAAAAACTCTGAATTTTCTTTTAACATCCATTTTCTATGAAAGAAATAATAATAAAATAAAAATTATAATAATAAAAGATATTAAGTTTCGATTAAAAATTAAAAGAAACTTCAAAATACCTTAAGGCTTTGTAAGCAATGTTTGTTCCTTGTTCCATGCCGTTATATAATATTCGCGCATAATCATCTGCAACCAATTGTTTTTCAGTTCCAGTCACCGCATCATGATGTTGCAACACTCCCATTGCTTCTCGAAAATGTTCCAATTCTTTCTCGTAACCTTTCAATTGAGTCAATGCGGACAACTGCTTGGATATCTAAAATTGCATCGAAAAAATCGTATTTTCATTTTTCTTCATTTTTAATTGCACATATAACTTTTAATACGAACGAAATGATTTCTTACTTGCAAAAGATTGTTTCCCATTCTTTCAAAGAATTTGATCGTTGGTCTGGAGGAGAAATAGCCAGTCCAATATGAATGTGGATCACTCGCGTAGGGAAAGAAATCGTCGTCTTTCGTCGTCCATTGCAATTTTGCATCGTGTACTGCTTTTAAGTAGCACGATGGTGTAGAATAAAATATATTCACGTCGGAGCTATTTCTCTCCCTTACATATCTATATAAATATAAATTATTATGTGTAAAAAATCTATTTAAAATATTAGGTTTTATGATCAAGTTTTTTGTTTAATTCTAATATTTAAAAAAGCTGAAGGGAAATAAAAAATTATAAAAACTTAACTTAAATTTATAAAATATTATATTATAAATTTATATAATATATATTATTATTATATATATTATAATATTATTATTAATTTTTATAATTATTATTATTATTATTAATATTATTATTAATATATATTATATAATATATATTATTATATTATAAATTTATAATATATATTATAAATATATATTATAAATTTATAAATTTATAAAATATCAATATTTTGTATTTTTTAAATTAATTATTTGAATATTTTACATGAAATTCTACATGTTTTACCTGATCAATTTCTCTAAGTTAGTGAACCACATTTCAGCATGTTGATAATTAAAATCTTCGCCCATTGTAAAAATTACATTATTAGTCTTGTAGAAAATTGCTTGAAGATAAGCGTATGTCACTAATTTTTCGACCTGCCAATATCGTATATATTATCTTACTTACCAATGTATCCCAGATAGCATACTGTTTTAGAATTATATTTGAAAAAGTAAACAAATATATATATATATATATATATTTGAGAATTAGAAATAATTTAATAACATTAATGAATACAATATTGAAAATGAAAATTACTGATAGTCAATATAACTTTCAATTATAAAAAGCATTTTTGAAAATAATTCTCGATAATTTTATCTTTAAATATTTATTTAATTTAATGTTTGTTTTTTTTTTTTTTAATAAGAAGAAAATGTTTCTGTGCTATCTGGGAAGATATTAAAATTACAGGACGTTTTCCTTCCTTTTCTTCCTTATACTTTTTATATGTGAAACGAAACTAAGAGATTTTAACAAAATAAAACTACCTTATTAGTATGTCCATATTAGAAAAATACATTTCCGCTTGTTGATAAGTGAAATCTCCTCCCATTGTTAATATGACGTTATTTGTACGATATACTTCAGATTGATGAACCACATATTGCAAAAATCTATTGACCTGTTATACAAAAGATATCAATTTCATTCGAAAAAGTTTTGGAAATCATTTGTATTGTTTAAAACGTGATTGAAATGGCAAATTAAAACTGATTATGAGAATAAATTTTGATGGACAATTAAAGACATTAAGATAATAAGAAATAATAAAGTAGAGATATATTAATAGTAACAAATTACTAATAAAGTTAATAAAAAGGAAGGAAACAAAGTCCAATGAATATATTTGTTAAAAATTTCCAAATCATTTTTTGTAAATGATTTTTTGAAAAATTTTTTGTCAAGTGACAAAAAAATATTTCTTACACATTACCATTAAGATATTAAAAAATGTAATTATCAGTTATATGTGAAGTGTTAGTTTACAAAAAATGATTCGAAAGTGAATAATATATACCCTGTCGTCAACGTTATAGTCTGGACTTTCGAGATCATCGTTTATTGGTTCATCATTGCACAAAATATCGTAACAGAAACCAGGTGGTGGGCTATAGTTATTGTACAATACAACTGTGAATAAATCTGCTCGTGATCCTATAATACAAATTGTTAATATAATAAGAGTAATAATTGTTACTAGTTGCGTTTCTTAAGCTTGGTCATTACCTAGATTCGAACTTCCTTTCCAAATGAATTCCATCGTTTTATCTTTGAGCCTTTTGATCTTATCTTGATAATCAAGGCGACCGAAAAACATTCCATCGAATCCCAATTGTGCAAATAAAGATGCTTGTTCTCTGGAATGACCAAAAGGATCTATCTGCCATCCTATATGTGGTCTTGCACAGCTTCCAAAAGTATCGTTAAGACGTCTGAAAAAAAATGAAAAAAATGAAAAAAAATTAATTTTAGGATCAAAATGTATTAAATATATATCTGTTAAAAATATATATATAAAAAATATATATATCTTTTTTCTTAAATATATATCTGTGTAAATTAATTAAAGAATTTAATTTAAGAAAAAAAAAATGCAAATAAAAAGAATTTGAACTTGAAAAATTATTATTGATTTAATCGAAAATTTATCACCTGAATCCCCAAGTATATTGATCTATAAGAGAGTGATAGTGAGTAACTGCCTCATCATTCATAGTCCATCCACCACCGATAATTTCTAATCTTCCTTGATTTATTAGATCTCGCACATCTTGCCTGGTTTTTTCGCTTTGACGCAACCACCATTTCCATAAAAATGCAGTTTCCACGAAAATAAATCTGATCAGATAAACATAAATCTTATATTATATTTAATAATGATTTGTAATAAATAATTTATAAAATTAATTTCGTTTAATTTAATACTATTATTATTTGAGAAAATATAATAATGTAATATAATATTTTTATTGCATTATAATAAATAACATAAAAATAAATTTTAATTACTTTCTTTCAGGATTCGCCAACAACGCCTGAATCACACTATCAAGAATGTATTGTACACCTGCTTTTTGAATAGTTGAACGACCTTTGTTAAAAAAAAAAAAATAATCAAAATTTAATATTATATATTTAATGTTGTTTTAACAAATATCATATATAAAATAATAATATAAATTATAATGTGTGACTTACTTCCAAAATAATACTGATCAACTGTTTTCAACCAACCAACATCATCGTGAGTATGAGCTACTAAATGAATATTTAGTTTTTTTGAATCCGTTACAGGACATGCCTATAATAACAAAAAATTTCTTAGAAATTTCTTAGAATATTTTATTTTAATTTTTAATATGTTATTTAAAAAAATCTAAAGATGCTAGAGTAATTTTAATGACTGTGTAATGTGTTGTGATTTGAAATATAAAAATCAAATATAAATGATATCTTAAATGATATTAAGATATAAATGAATAAATATTTATGATGGAGAGCCATTTCAATATCTTTTAAAATTTAAAAATTGTTAAGAAATGTAAATAAGACTGGACAGATAAGAAAGCGTTGGAAGATATGTTTCACTAAAAAAGTTAAAACATGTAAACTATTTAGTTTTCAATCATCTTTCATAGTCATTAAAAAATTTATTTTAAATTATATGAAGAAGAAATTATAATTCTATAAATTATTATGTACGTTAATAAATGTATATACAAATAAATATAAATATAAATAAAAATGACCTTAATTTTTTAATTTTTATGATATTTACGAAGTAGAATTTGAATGATATCATTGCCATGATCAATTAACCAAATTAATCATATTATCATAACTTATTTTATATAATCCTATTTTTTAAAGATTAATTTTTTTATTGAATGAAATTTAGAAAAATATCATTCAATTTTTAAATAATTGATTTTATTAATTATATTGTATTTAATTATTTATTTATTTACTTTATTTTACTATTCTATGTTCTCTTAAGAACATAGGTTTTCGTATAATGTACTGTGATTAATTATGCGTCTAACATTTATTGTAAATTACTTAAAATTTAAGAAATACTAATTAACCGGAAGAAAAGAATATATCCATGAGAATGATAAAGAATAATGAAATGAAAAATGATAATATAAAAAATTTTGTCATATAAAGAATATTTAAAAATTTTATATAATTTTATCCAAATTATTTATGCTCAAAAAATTACTTTTATTTGATAACTTTAAATATTTAACGCTTATTTTATATTTATAAATATAAATTTGATCATTTTAATTAGAATAATTTTCAAAGTGATCAAGTAAAAATAAAAAAAAAACAGTCTGATATTAATACGGTTCAGCGATATCTTTATGTAAGATATAAAACTATGAATAAAAAAATTTATTATTTAATCAATTTGAAATTATTATTTGTTTTGAAATAAAGAATTAATTTTCGAATACCTCGTAACCACAAACTTGTGTTTGCCTTCTTGGAATGCTAGCTCCATGTCCATGGGTGAAAAATAGCAAAAATGAGATCAACAAAAATTCAAGCCACAACATAATCAACTCACCACTCCAGACTTTCAGTCGTTAATGAAACAATCACCCACTCTTCCTCTACTTATATCGTTTCTCTACATTATGGCTCCGCGCCATCATATTATTGCGTCAAAGTTGGAAGAAGATAATGTCTACTGCTATCGTTTATTCATCGGTTTATAATATGAAATAACGAAAAATATTTAGTAGATTCAAAATGCTTTAATTATTATCTGTTCTCTAGCGATAAATAAATATTGTAATAGTGCACAATATAATGTTTACTACATATAATAACATCATACAGAATCGGTTGAGAAAAATCTGTTGTTTTATATTTTTTCTATGAAGAAATATTATGTACATATATATATTACTAGATATATACTTATATTTTGATATAAGAAAGATATAAATAATCTATTGTACATCTCATGTACTTATTAGTTTGATAAAAATGATAAATGGAATCACAAATATATTTCACAAATATATTTAATTAAAATTGATAATTTTTAATATTTGTTTTGAATTAACACTTAAAAATTATCATGTTATATCAATCATATTATATCGAGTTATATCGAGAATAATATTTTAATGATAAACAAGTTCGATTTATGGAATTAATGATAAATAAATTATACTTCATCTCTTTCATTTTTTTAATTAATATACATGTATTTATAATCAATATAGATACAAATATGGATAAAATATTTAAGATATGACAATAAGAACACCTTATTGTTATGAAAACAATATTTATTGAAATAATATTATAAAGTAAAATGCAATAACACTGCTAAAAAGCATAAATAAAGAGCATAAATAAGAAGCAAGATTTCAATAATGAAAGAAATATATATAGAGTTATATCAAACAAAACGAAGCTTCAAAATATATGCGTACTGCACAATATATTACACATATATCTAATAATAAATAAATAAATAAATATACATTTATTTATTTATTTCCTTTTGATGCAGAATCTTGTTTACAATGATTATTGTCAATGTTATTTTTTTATATCAGAAAATATCATTATATCAGATGAATTATAACGGGAAAAAGTCAAATAATCTAATATTCAAAAAACAGTTCTGTAATTATATCATTGATTTCTGAAAGAAAAAGAAATCATTTTAATTTCTATTATTCAAATTGAAAATTAATTAAATCGTTAAATATTAAATTAAACAAAGTAAAATCTTAAAACTTACCGATATATGTAATATTGCTATTATTCAAATTATATTTAAAAATCAGAATAAACAATTTCTTGTGATTTCTCGAATTTTATTGGTCGATAATAAGTCAAAGATTGATCCCATCCTCGAGGTGCTGTATTATAATTAGCTAGATTGTGAACACTAGCAAGTTTTGGTCCTGTGTAGGTATTATTTTCATAAAGCTTTTTACCTGCAAGAATAAAATAGATTTTTCAAAAATTCCTCGTTTTTCTACGACAATATGCAAAATAGATTTATCAGATTTTAACAGTATACATGAAATGAGAATAAAATATAAATAGTTAGTAATGCAAATGTTAAAAAAATAGAAGCGCATGCGGGTTAACTTGCCTACATCGCTTGAATCTGGACACACATCAGTGAATTTACAATCTGGCGAAACGCCATGTAATAAATTGTCCAGAACGGGTGTATTACGCAAATGTTTAATAGTTTCTAAAATGTCCTCCTGAGAAGCAATCATCGAGAGCAATAATGACTTCGCTTCCGGAGGAACTTCCGATTCTGTATTTACGAATTTCTCGTTTCCATTGTTGCAAAAATTCTCTACTTCTTCGGAAGTGACGGATCGACGTCGACTGGAGGAACATTCTTCGCGATAAATCGACGAATATTCTTGATCACCGTTCATTATACTCGAGGATTCCGACTTTTCACGATAGATTATTTCCTCACTATAATCGTTCGTTTGGGAATCGGTTCCATCACTTGTGTATTCCGTATCATCGGTAGAAATGAAACCATTGGTACAGTGATCTTGATATCTTTCTTCTTCGTATCTTTGTCGTTCATTTATTCTGTATTATAATCAAGTAAAATAATATTTTCGAACAGAGTTCGAAATTCGCAATCTAATTTTTAGATTTGCGAAATTCGAATCCGAGATTTTATGAAATTTCGAAACTCTCGAAATCTGAAACTCTCGAAACATTAAAATAGATCGAAAGTCTTAACATAAGCACAATTCAAGATTTAAAATTTCCAAACTTTTTGATTTCCGAAAGATTTCGAGATTTCGAGCTTTCGAATGTCCTGTCATTAATTTAAATTATAATTCGATAAATTTTATCTATTTATCATATGAATAAATAGAATTTTATAATTTATTTCTAATTTTAAATTTCATTCTGTCTCACCTCCTATGCTTTTCTTCAGAGTTGTACTTAATCGAGTTTTGTGTTTCAAAAAATCGCGTTATATCGTTATCAAGAGGAGACTGTTGTACGATTGGAATAACCTTTGGACTGAATTGTTTGTACTGTAAAACCGGTCTACATGTTTTTTCAAATTCTTGTATTAATTGTTTGACCGGTATTGGTGTGTATTCGTTTTCTTCATTATCGATTTCTCGCTGAGTATTTACAAATTTTTCTTTATCATTAATAGTCTTTACACACTCCGTTACCCGTTGTTCTTTCACATAATTTTTAATTTCTTTGTTAGTAGTGTGATATGCATTAGAATAATTAGATTTATTCAGCAAAGCCTTATTATAATTATTATAGTTACGTCTGTTAGTGATTTCATATCTCATATTTTCATTAGTGTTATTTCTGCCATGATAATTGTTATATCGATCGATATCAGGCTCGAAAGTGATTCGACGTGATTTCTCAACTATCGACGACGATTGAGATTTATCAAAAGGAAAGTCATTATCAGTACCAACAGCCACTTCTCTCAAATAAATTTTTTTTACTTCAGTTAAATGATTGCACTCTTTACCATTACATCGATTTTGATTTCGGCCTGAAATATTTTTAGATGGTTAAAATGTAATTATGGTGGTTAAAATGTAAAGCATTTTCATGAGCTTGATTTAGCTTATATTTTATATGTTTTATATGTTATTGTACGTTATTCGTTATGTAAAAAAAAAATTCATTATAACATTATTAAATGTCAATGCAGTTTAATTTATATATATTATATATATTAATAGCATTAATCAGCGTAAAGATCGATCTTCGATTGGCAATGATGTACAGATAGTTGTTTATTTTAGATATACAATGAAAAAGAATGCGGCGGTAGTCACGCATCGATTGAATAACATGTCGTTTGCCAATTGAAGCTTTCTAGGTTGTTGAACTCTTGTCGAAGTTTTAACAAACAAGTTTAACATCCGCTTGTGTGCGGACTATATAGAACGTTTGATGCTTTTAATATCTAAGAACGATTTTCTTTTTTCTTTCTTTTAATTGATGATCATTATTATTTTATATATAAGATGTATATGTTGATAGTGAAAGTAAATTGAAAGAATAGAATGATTTAGATCGACTAGAAATAGATATGAAGTAGTCTAGCTAGAATTTAAGTCCTTGAAAATTGTATTTATTCACGATATGAAAACAATTCGAAACTAAACTAGAATATGAAATGGAACATTGCCAAATAAATATTTGCCAGCTAGATTGCATAAAATAAAGAAGATATAAACTTTTGTTTGAAATTTACACACCTGTCGTCGGTTGATTTATATTATCTAAAGACAAGTCCACGGTAAAAGGATTATAAAATGATTTTTCATTGGTTGGTTCAGGTACAATAGGCGAAGGAAGACTTGAATATTTTGAAGTGCCATTCATTTCCTGTATCTAATATATCAAAATTTATTTTTCATTTAATATTTTGGAAAATTTTTTTAATAACTTAATAACTAAAGTAGCTATCTTACCGATTTTCCCATATATATTGGCATTTTTGGCATACCAGGTGTGCTTGGCATTTGTGGTTGCTCTTTGTCTACAACCCATTTCTCAGATCTTTTTCTGCGTTTTGCGAATATTTCAGCACCTATAAATTAGTATTATATTTTCTCAAAATATACAAATCTTGAAATAATATTTTTTTAAATTATGTAAAAAAAATATTATTCAATTGATTGGTGTTTTATATATATAATGGATTGTTGTAATATTGTTAATATATAAATATTATATATATATAATAATATATGTATAATAAAATTGTTAATATATATGTAAACACTTTATTACCACGGCCTCTTTGATTGTTTAAATCACGAACGATATCGAAAAGTTTTTCGGGATTTTTTGGCATTGGTTCTATATTTACTTCTTCCCCTAAAGCTTGAATACCATGTATATCCAATACTTTTCCATGCGGGTTCATCATGCATTTTAATGGAATTTTATCCTATTGAAACAACATTTCCAATAAAAGATTAGATTGAATATTTATCAAAGTAGCATTTATATCATCTTATATAAGCTTTACCGAAAATACATATAAAAATATATACATTGCAATTTGGAACACACACCACTTACTCTGTGAACAGGTGTTAAAGGTTCTTCTGCATCTTCTACGCCTGTAATGCCATTTAAATAATTAAATAAATAATAATCACATAATGATTAATGTTTATTAATCTGTAAATATAAATATATTATGTACAATACGTACCATTGCCATCGTGAATCCATTTAACCGATCTTTTTTTTCTGTTCACATACATAGATTGACCTTTACTTTTCATATTTTTTACATCGCTTAACGAATGTGAAATTCGTCGAGCGAGTTCAACTTGATCTTCAACGGTTGGATGTGTTGGCGCGTAAAAATATGAAGATGCAAACATTTTTCCTGCAAAAAGTTTCTATATATCCGATTATGTTTAAACCCATTATTGATTAATAACATTAGTAATTATATATTGTGTTGTGAATTATAAATTATTAAATTTTTATATATAAATAATATTTTTTATTTAATTAACTTACTATTTTTAGATTGCATAATTCCCTGCGAATCTACAGCAGGTGTGAGTAATTTTTGTAAGTTG